GCGGGGGGGTGGGGGCGGGGGCGGGCCCCCCCTTGTTTTTCTTTCCTCCTGCTTTTTTTTTTTTTTTTTTTTTTTTTCTGATTTTTTTTTTCCCCTCCTCCTTCCTCCCCCCTCCCTTTTCCCTCCACTGGGCTGACAGATCAGAGAGGCGCTGCCAGTGGACTAGGAAGCTCGGCTGATACTGCTCCCGCCCTGGGCTTCAGAGAGTCTTTCCCTGTCGAACAAGAGGGGTGAGGATCATATTTTTATTTTGGAAACTAAAAAGTGTTCCCAGGGTCGGTGATCATTAAGGGGAAATCCCTGAATGTACTCTCCAGCCAAGAAGGCAGGGCTGCCCGCCTGCACTGGAAGAGACAGCAGCCTCCTACAGCACCACTACAGGCACTGCGAGGACATAACACCATAGAGCAGTTCCTCTGCCCTCCGAAACGACAACTTTCCTACCATCTTGGAGGCAGAGAAAAGAGGGGCCAAGGGAAAAAGTGCACCGGCTCCGGATAAAGTACAAATTTCTACCTCTCATCTCTGGAAAAAGTCCACACTCGCGGTCTACACCGGCGCCTAGGGGTCTGAAAAGCAAGGGAAGAAAACTGAAGCGAGTTCATTTGCTCCGTGGGGGGGAATGTTTCTGCACCTTCTGATGGAAAGAAATCTTTACAAGACACAGGTTTTACGATATTGTTGTTTTCCATTTTAACTTTTTTCCATGATGGTGATAGTGGTAGCTTAAGTTTTGTTTTGGTTTGGTTTGTTTTCAGGCTAATAATGAGTTTTCTCTATGGCAGGTCCAAGTTCTGTATCTGGTGGTCAGTCTGTAAACAGGCACCTCAGAGACTTATAGGTCACTTTATTGTGTTTATTTTATTGCCCGTTTGTATTGTATGTATGCGTGTTTATGTTTTCATGGGTTACAGTTAGGATTTTGTGGGTTTGGTGTCCAGGAAACTGAGGGTGCTACAAGTCAATTGTAAAGAGATGTCTTTTGTCTTCTCTCAAAGCAATGTAAGTAAAACCTATTGGCTGTCCAGAAAGGCATTAATACAGCTGTTTATTTTTCACAGTGCAAATCAAAGCACTGTGTATTTAAAGTCTCCTTACAACAGACCAAGCCTGTGATGGTCTAGCTGCCCAAGAAGAAAGATGACTCCTGTTAACCTACCAGGAAAGATGCTTTGGATTTTCTTTCAGTAAAATTGTGTATTAAGAATGACATCTAGGATTTCATTTGTGTTATTTTTCTTTCAATTTGTATAGATAATTTAATGTCCGGGGCTTTGGTGCATTGCATACAGTTCTTCTATCTACTCTCGTTAACACAGAATTGAGAGGTGTGTTTATTCTTCCTAGTGTTGAAATGTTCAGAACTTCCAAAGTGGTACGGGACTGTTGAGTAACTTCATACACTGCAAGGACGTCGTGCACTTACTTTTAAAAAAAAATGATTCATTTATTTTTATTTTATGTGCAGTGGTGTTTTGCTTGAATGTATGTCTGTGTAAGGGTGTTGTATCCTTCTGGAGCTGGAGTTAACAGACAGCTGAAAGCTACCATGTGGGTGCTGGGAATTGAACCTGGGTCCTCTGGAAGAGCAGCCAGTGCTCGTAATCACTGAGCCATCTCTCCAGCCCCAGAATTTATTTATTTATTTATTTATTTATTTATTTTTTAAGAGCAAACTTTAGCATGCAATCAGGATCAAAGTTAAGCTGTTCTGCTTGTGGAGGTGACAGCAAGGTGCTGCCGACTGGCTTTTACTCAGAACTGTAGTGGAGAATTCCTTGTGGAGAATTCCTTGCAGATGAATTGGAAGCACAGTAGGAAATGGCCAGGTTTTTCTTATGTTCCAAGGGAATGAGGATTTTCATTTAAAATCCATTACAAAATCATTTATGAGTAGCTGATAGCTCCAGCTTAAAATTCCTATTTCTGAGTTATAACTTTAAGATAAATTCAGATACTATTTTTCTGTGGAACTTTATGATCTAAATTTGTATATAATACCTTCTGTGAGTTTTACCTCCCTTTTTGATGGGAAAAACTACAGACATTAAAATTTACCAGTTCCTCACACCTTAGGAACCTTTACTTGTGAAGTTGTGTTATGTTTACAATTTTGCGGTTTGTTTTGCTTTGGTTTATTTGTTTTGAAATAGGATCTTGCTTTATAACCCAAGTTGGTCCTGAACTTAATATGTAGTTCAGGCTAATAGTCATCCTCCTTCCTCTCAAGTGCTAGCTAGTATTAGTCCCATTCCACACCACCCTTTCCAGGTATTTATCACGTGACCCATAAAGCACAGTGGCCATTACAAGAGAGTAAGTTTCCATAGCCGAGACCGCTAGTGGAGTTGGAAAGCATGTTTGCCAACAGCGTGTTTTTCCTTATGTGTGTGTGCCTTAACTTTATATAGACATGGTCTCAATGTTTCAAGAGCTGAAGCAACCTTTTCATTAAACTCTCCTTATGCAGCCACCCCTCTGGTCACCCAAGAGACTTGTTTGTATGACAGCAAAGGCCAGTGGTATATGTCTTTAGGATTTCACTGCTTTTCTATGTCCCAAGTGTCACTTGTACATTGCCATAACCCATGTTTACCCCATCTTCCCAGCTAGCCAAAATTGGGGGAATACAGTTCAACCGAGAAGAATCCCACTAAATTTACTATTGGAGAGTTTAATTGTGAAGGTTTGTTACATTTAGAGTGGAGAGAGGCACTCAGGTACCACATGTGGGTGTCAGTTCTCTCCTTCCACCATGGGAGTCTCAGGGAATCAAACTCAGATCATCAGGTTTGGCAGCTAGTGACTTTACCCGATGATTTGTTTAGGTTGACAGTTAGAATCATTCCAATGTCATGTCTGACGCCTAGGAACTGTGAGTGCTAATACAATTAATAACAATTTGAGAGTCCTCATTTTTCCCCCAACTGAAATCCTCCACTCAAATTTAGCTGATATTGCTAAGCACTTGATAGACCTTGGGAACCTTTCTAGACACTGCATTTCTACATTTTTTTTTATTTCACTGGTTTTTTTCCAGAGGGGATTTCTCTGTGTATTCCTGACTGTCTTGGAACTCACTTTGTAGATCAGTCTGGCCTCGAACTCAGAGATCCACCTGCCTCTGACTCCAGAGTGCTGGGATCTGTGTATGTACCGCCACCACCTGGCTAGACACTTTAATGTGTTATTTTAGTCACTGTTCTGGTTTGGTTTCGTTTGAGAGAGACTGTTCCACTGTGTTACCCTGGCTGGTCTGGAACTCACCCTGTAGGCCAGGCTGACCTTGAATTCATAGAGATCCTCTTATCTCTGCCTCCTGAGTGCTGGAATTAAACCTATATGCCACTGTATTCTCCCCATTTTTGAGGAAAGCTCTATCCATGTAGTCCAGGCTGGCCTTGAACTCCCTATGTGACCCAAGATGGTCTTGAATTCATAATCCTTCTGCCACGGGCTCAGAAGTGTTACATTTATGTGTGCCATGGCATCTTGCTGGATCTACCTTTTGCTACTAGTGATTTTAGTTTCGTAAAAATTGGGTGCTTCATTGTAAATACTATAATGAAGTTATTAAGAAAATGACAACTATATCCTGTCCTTGAAAGGTCTCCTTTATACAGTGATATACATGTGTGGAAATGTAACAGTACCCATTATTGTGTATGCTTACTAAAAATTAATTTAAAAAAAAATCTCATTTAGAAATTATAGATTTAAACTTTTAGACTGATATGTGCTTAATGTATCAGAATTTGCCTCTAAGTAAAAAAGTCACACCTCTCTTGAATCACCAACTCCTTTTTATTCTTTAAAGAAAGAAACCACTGACAATAGACATTGTTATTCAAGTTCACTCAGATTTTTGTTTGTTTTGAAGAGAGCTTGTTTTGTGGGTCATTTGGGTTTTTTGTTTTGTTTTTTCCTTTTTTGAGATAGGGTCTCATGTACCCTGGGTTAGCCTCAAACTGTCTAGAGCTGATTCTCTTCTCTCCACCTTTGAAGTGGTGGGGTCATGGGCGTCTACACCACACTCAGCCTATTTAACTCCACACCAAACACAGGCCTGGTAGCTCAATAGTAAGAGGTGGAGGCAGGAGGATGGACAGTTCCAGAGCCCTAGCTTGAATGGATGGACGAGTGTCTTACAACACAGTGTTCCCATTCCTGCAGAGGCTGGGCAGCACAGTACTGAGCCAGTTACTGGTTGCTATGGATCACCGCACAGACCAGACTCCTCACTAAGTACAGGTTCTATGTGGCAGTCGCCCGGCTATGACTGCAATTGTCAGGTTGTGACTCTCAATATCCACTGCACCACAGCCTAAACCCCTGAAGTGAATGAGTGGCAGGTAGTGAGTGGTGTGCCTATCTAAGTTTTACATTAAGGTGACCATAGACTATTTTTTTTTTATTCTAAGCCTGTTTTAGAAATAGCCGTTGAAGTATTTCTACCTAAAACAAAGACTGTGTTTTATTGTGGTTACTGGATCTTGAAAGAAATATAAAAACAAAACAAAAAACCTCAAAAATATATTCAATGAGGAATAAATGAGGAAAAAAAAGAAAATGTCTCAGCTACACATTGTATAGAACAGATACAATAGCTTTAGATTATTTCAATGTGAAATTTCTGTTTAAGAAAAAAATGCAAGTTTAAGCTAGCCATGGTAATATATTCCTTTAATCCCTGAAATTTGGTAGACAGAGGCAGGAAGATCTCTTCAAATTCAAGGCCAGCCTGATCTCTCTCTCTCTCTCTCTCTCTCTCTGTCTGTGTGTGTGTGTGTGTGTGTGTGTGTGTTTACATATATAAATACATACATATAATTCAAGCATAGCCAAAATGTACATAAGCATTAACTAGATAGTCTAGACCTGAGAACTATTATCTGATTTTATGTTAAAAATCAAGAAAGGAGGCAGGCGTTGGTGGCACACGCCTTTAATCCCAGCCCTCAGGAGGCAGAGGCAGAGGCAGAGGCAGAGGCAGGTGGATCTCTGTGAGTTCGAGACCAGCCTGGTCTACAAGAGCTAGTTTCAGGACAGCCTCCAAAGCCACAGAGAAACCCTGTCTCGGAAAAAAAAAAAAAAAAAAAAAAATCAAGAAAGGAGTTTGAGAGTTCAGAGGGAGAGGATGTTTATTTTGTTGGTTTCCTCTCCCCAAAACCCAAAAGGTACCCTTCAAGAACTAGATAGTGACTGTGCTGACAGGAGGCCAAGACTTTATGGCCCTCTTCAAGCTATAGGCAGAGAATGTGACAAAGTAGCCTCAGCTGTAGAAATTGGGGGACAGGAAAATAACTCCACCATAAGTCACATCATTAGTGATCATTAGTTAAAAAAAAAAAGTTCAAGATTGGGTTTAGGTTGAATTACAATGATAGCCAACCTTTTCTGTAATTATCATGAGGAAAAAAGAATGTCCCCAAAGTGATGGTTAGTTAAAATGTTGTAGTAAAAAGAGAAATCCCTAGAGACCTCAGGATAATAATCAGGGGTTAGCAGGAAAGTGACAATGTTCATTTCTGTGGCATTCCTGGCCAAACACTCTACTGGAGATCCGCTGGGAATGTAATCAGGATTTCCATGGGAAAATAAATTCCAGGTTCCAGACAAGTAATTTAGAGATGTTGTGGAACACAGCCACTAATAAGTTTAGACTTGTGTGCTCCAGAGTCCCACAGCATGTCATTCTGATAGATGGCCAGCGTTCAATATTAAGGCAGGGACAATGTGGGAGCAAATCCACTTATTCAGATAAAAGAAAGAAAGATAACTGAAGGGAGCTCAATGGAGATGATCACAGACAAAAATGGTTGTAGTACAGAAGGAAAACAACCTGTGACTCAAATTAGGCTATATTTACTCTGTACACATTGCAGCTCCTATGTGTCACGTGATCTTATAGATAACATTTGCATTCTGTTTTATTCTTTGTTTCTCTCTGTTGAGAGACAGGCTCTCATATTAGCCTAGAATTAACTATGTAAAGCAAACTGGCCTGGAAATTGTGCAAATCCTTCAGTCCCAGCCTCCCAAGTGTTACGATTACAGGCTTCAGCCACCCTGTCTGTTTTTTAGATTTATAACCAGAAGTAGGGCCAGCTCGATGGCTCAGTGGAGATACTTACTGCACAAGTCAGGAGACCTGGGTTTAATCCCTTGGGCCCCACATAAAGTGGGGGGAGTGAACATGCTCCACAGAGCTT